CATGCTTTGTCTTCAACTCCGGAGACTTTCCTTTAAAATGCATGCGGACTAAATTTGCATTCTGGCGAGAAAACGGAAAAGTGAAGTAAAAACACAGATCCAAAACATAAAATAGTTCGTTAATTAGCATAAAGGAACCTCACAATGTTATAAATTGATCTCCGCAAGATTTATACTATAATGTCGTCGTTATTGCTCTTCCTACTCTACAGCTGAACTTTAGTTTTGTTCTTTACTAAACTTTTGAATTCCTGAGAGCAGATGTTCACTAGATCAAAGCAAACGATTAATGGCATATCGTATTTAAAGGAAAACAAATTGAAATAAGACTGTAATAAATGCTTTGTATTATCATTCGTCAGATTTGTTGGAATTAATGAAAGCATATTTCTAAATCTTGACATATCACTATATCCGCAATGCTATATACTCTGAAGACTGACTAATAAACAACAGCTTAATTTTTTGCATTTAATCAGATAATAGTGAAATTTATTCTGAAGAATTCTGTTGAAAAGACTAATCTAAAACATACACTGCTTCATATCGATTATTTCGTTCTCCTACATTTCTCTGCGATACTTAAGTTAGTTTGATCTCATCACGTGTGTTATCATTCTTATTATGCAAATATCCCTTTTCATAATCTTATTCAACACAACGTAATATTTCTCGTTATAAACTGCGGAACTCATTAACATTTTGAATCATTTTTACCGCTTTTCATTTCTCATTTTCAACGTGCTGACAAAATGACATGGATTATCTTCCAGAATAAATTTGTTACAGATAAAAGTGTTCTACTGATCAAATTATACTAGCTTTTGGAAATTATAATACAAATTAAGTTTGATCTGTGAAAGAATTCTTTTGGAATACCAAGATGTATGGGAAGTGAGCAAAGGTATTTTAATGAAATGCTGATGCAATTTCATTTTCTTTACTAATCTTAGGGAATGCTACTGAAATAAACAGAAGCTTATTTTACAATGTTCTAAATGACATCCGTTGATGAAGAATAAATTATTTTTCGTTATTTGTATAATTAATAATGCGGCATCTTACTGCATACTTTTCTTGACATCTCGACTGAAGACGGAAAGTTATTAGTTCTTAATTACAAATTTCTCTTTCTCCGAACCTAATTTACGATTTATATGTAACAGTATTTTTCTGAAATATTTGTAATCAATAAATACTTCAATAATCATACATTTTATTAAACAAACAAACCAAAATAAATCATGTACTATAATATATTTCACATCTTGCTGTTCAAGCTAATTTGTTAGTATTTGTACTGAGTAAATCAGCAATCCCGTCTGAACATGTTGGCTTTTTTTTTCTGACATGCTAACTATGCACACATTGAAAGCAAGAGGAGTGATAATTTATTCTCAAGGGAAAAGAAATTATACACAGGAAGAGCTCGACATACAGTGGGAAAAAATGGTTTCTTACATAGCTATGACTGTAAATAAAAGTTTAATTTGCTACACAAAACCTTTTGCGAAGAAAATGAAAATTAATATAATTGGTTCAATCCAATTGTATACATTATTTATGAATACTAAAAACAAAATATATCGAAGTATTTGAATAGTAAATTTAAAGAAACAAAAGATCACCTTCACAAGTAATCGAAAAAGGTTTCCATACGGTATTTACATAGTTCATGAAAGGCTCTTCTTTGTCATGTATTACTTATCTCAAACATTGTGGCATGGCTCCCACAAATTGTCTGTTGTTTCACACGAATGTTGCTTCAAATATCTTAAATTGCACTTTTTATGTCAACCTTGAGCTTGGAGTCATATTTTTGTTATTTCAAGAGCGAATTATTCCCATAAATGTTTGGTAAGCTTTAAATGAAAAAACGGGAGGTCTACGAAGCTGTTTTTTAACATGATAGAGGCACCATTATTGACAAATCTCGGAAGTGAGTTTAGCATTGTTCCTGAAAGAAAATGTAGTTTTTCCCGAATTAGTTAACACGTTTTGCTTTAGAATGTCAAGTTGCATGTACTTATTCCCATTTCCTTCTATAAAAGGTAAACTGTCGACGGCAGCAACACTCATACACCCACAAACCATGATACTTCCGCCACAGTATTTGTCATTTTAACTTAAATTCATAATTAGTATTTCTTGATTTCGTTTCAGAACATAACTTGATCATATCACCCATCGATTTGGATTCATCGTTAAAACGAACGGATTCCCAGACAGATAAAGGCTTACTTGCATGCTTGTTTGCAAACTGGAGGATCTTTTGTCTGTTACAGTAAAATAAAAAATCTGATGTGCGCACATGACTTCCTTCTACGGAATATTAAATTATGCGCAGATTTCTCTGCATTTAATTTAAACTTATTCTTTCGAATTTCATTAGGGGTATATTTCTCATTCAATTATTTCAGTTCTCACTTTGCAACAAGGCAAAGATGCATAAAACCTGAAGATAGTTTTATGAAAAATTGCAAAATAAAGAAAAATATAAAATTCCAAATACAGTTAAAACAATAAACAATTTTTGCTAAATTCAAATTGGACTTTCTACGCAAAAACAATCATTACGTCCAGCGGGCAAGAAGACATATTTTTCGGTGCACATAACTGAGAGCTTTCTTTTGGGCCTCCTTTGGTAAGACACTGAAGGTGCAAGAACTTACTTAATTCACTATTCTGCTAAGTTTCAAATGTAAACAAAAATGATTTCTATGGTTAAAATATTAGTCTTAACAGCACTTGAAGAATTCTTAAATTGTTGATAATTCTACAACTATTGCATGCGTATTAACTAAAGGCATAAAAACCTTAACCGGTGGATAAGAACAACATAATTCAATTATTTTAAAGCAAAAAATGCGCAATTTACTTAAATATAATAATAAAAAACTGAGCTCATGGAGCCAAGTAACAGAGTGGGTATATATACATACATTCTAAATAAATGTAAAATATACATATATACTTTTGGTGCGGCCGATTGCAACCAAAAATGGAGGTACACAACTACATGTAGCAGTCTTATATACAAAATTTCAAAGTTCTGAGGCTATTCGTTTTTGAGTTATGAAGATACTTAGATACGTACGTATGTACCTGTGTACGTACAGACACCACGAAAGAAATCTCTTCTGAATCCATTTTAAATCAGTTTTATAATTCGTTTGGGGAAAAAGAGTCCTTTATTCTGTCCTTGCGTCCACATGTCAAGCTAAAACATCATTAAATTGGATTCGATAACGGTCAAAATGGATATTTTCGTTGAAATATGTCACCCGAAAATTTTTCGCGATTACAATACTTCCTTTACTTCGTACCAAGGAAGTAAAAAGGCTTTTTACGGGCCGAGCGTACTTTGTTCATCTGTTTTTTTTAATGATAGTTTTCATCTTTTGAGATATCACTTGCATATTATAATCAGTTTTTAAGTCAGCTGCGACTTGAAGTAAACTTGTTCGTAAATTATCCTTCACCTTAGGCATAATATTTCTTTTATGCAAAAGGTTCGAAAAGGTTCGAAAGTTTTCAGTACGCTATTCTCAAAAGAATTAAACTAATCTTTCAATAATATACTGCAATGTAGACTTTTATTTATTAACGATTTTACCAGTTTTTTTCCCCCCATAAATAATCCGTCATTTTGTAACCGAATCAGCAACTCAATAGCTTTAGGAACTTCAATTTTCATACAATCTGCTACAGCTAGAATTAAACAACTGTAGCTATCATTTCTGCCTGAAGCTCAGGTACAATCCAGTTTCGAAAATTTACTGCGGGACAGTTATAGAAGGTGTCAAGACTAATTTGCATACGGAAAATTTTTTTTCAGAACACTTTGCAACATCTCCTAAATGTTTCGATTGAAACGTTTACCTCGTTTTAAAGAAAACCGACATTCATTATAAGCGATATTTAACTTAATAATGCATTCATATGATATAACAAAAGTCCTAATTTCACAGCCAGTGTCATCAGAGGATTTTAGTGAAATGCATTGTAGCTGTCATCAAAGCCTTTCTGTTTGCGGGATGATCGACCAATGGTTTTACAGTTCCTCTGAGATGGTCTTCAACTATAACGAGCCAAAGGATGTAAAATGCAATAAATGAGTAAAACTTAAGAGGTCTTGATTAACTCGGTCTGAAAAATGTGGCAGTTAGAAAAAAGTGTAAGAACAGATTTTAAAACATTCAATTAGAAAGACTCTTGTTGCTAAAAACGTTTTCGCACATTGATATCGCACACAATTAACTTATATGAACTTTTAAAAGTCATCTAAATCCTGCTTATATGCATTTAAATATTGATTATTAATTAGTTTTCGATACTCTTAACATTGTTGTTGTAATAGCAAGCTTCCCAAAGATTTATGATAAATATGTTTCAGTTAAATGTTGCAGTTGTACACACAACCAAACTAACACTCGCCCAAATTTATTTATTCCAAATGCTACCTTATTTTGCGTCACCTTTGATACAGCTAACTTCGGCATAGTATAGTTTCTAACTGCGTGTTTCAGAGGAGACGTTCCTAAGGCATTTTGACATTTTAGTGTGATATTTGTCGAAATATATCCTTTGGCTTTTCCCACGTTCAGGCGAAATAAAATTCTCAATGAAAAAGCTTCGAACTAGGTATACGAGTAGTTACTACGATGAAACCCATATGTACATGTCGTTCATTGCCTCCAAGTGCAAAGCCTTGAAACACCAAAAATAGTTCTAACGTTTGAGATGATTAGTCAGTAATGTTTTATTAATTATCAATCAAAAGAAGGCAGATATTGTACTTGAGCTTAATGGAATTAATGACCTAACTTAAAAGGCACCCAGTACATTCATTTGCATTTTATTATGCTGTTTCAATTCACTGCTCATAATAACAATAATAAACACATGCAAATTAATTGCAGGTATCATTAAATCAACAAATATGATTTTTACTTGTTAAAAATCATTTACATTTTAGAAATTTATTTTGAAATAAATACCTGCCAAGGCAGTAGGCCTTATTACAAAAGATCCGTCACGAATCCATGATGTCACAGTTACGTAATCTTGAACGAGTTCAGGAATGTGGCATCGCAGAACAGCTGTATTACCTCGAATCACAAATTCATCATACACATCCACTGCATAAGATTGTTGGACAACTGAAAAGATAAAATAGCAGAGTAACAGTGGAGCAAAAATAATTGTACATTGTAATAATGAGAAATGTTCTATTTGTAATAAGAATACCCGTTAGCCGTATAAGCTTACTTCATTTATCATTCTTATTTTATATTTCCTTTTATAAAAGTAAATACTATCTTTATTAGCACGGAAGAACACTTTTATCTTCCTCTCTTTTTCGATGCTAATTACTTTGAAATATTATGACGCAAAATAAATGCAATATTTTATGGGTTAAAATTGACTCCAATGTGCATAAGTTAAAGTTATTTTGGTGTGCTCAGAAGAAAGGAATTACTGCATCTGTGACTTTTAACTCGTACTAGAATTTTAACGAACTGCGAGTTAACATTTACGCAAGTGCATTTTCTTGGAATTCATGAATAATGAAAGAGATATAAATTCAGCGATTTCAAATTAACTGGAAAATTTCCAGTTTCTTATAATGAATGTAGGAGTCATATAATGCGATATAATATCGTTCTTAATTAAGGCACAAAGTTAGGAAAATTGTGTCTTCGAATATTGTTCTAACGCGGTCTTCTTCACGATAATGTAAACCCTAATTCTGAAGTTTAAAATGTTAGAAATACTTTAAACGAATTTACCGATGCCAGTCTCTGAGGGAGGGTTTTGAAAATATGAAAAACTAAATAACTCTTATTTATCTTTGAATATATAATAAGATATTTCTTATAAGGTAGTAAGGCAACCCATGCTTCAACAACACAATAACTAATAATAAACAAAACGCATTTAATGGCAACAAGCATATTAAAAGAATATACTTTCAACTGCTTTCAGTTCTTAAAAACATTTTGCGATTAAATACTAATTAATAAAAGCTATTTCTATTATTATATGCTACTAACTTCAGCGACACAACTTCTCCTTAACTAATACATTTTATTTCGTATATTTATAACGGTGTATTTCGAAAATTTATTCAGAAAGAATGATAATATCTGAAGGAAATTACTTAGTATGAATTAAAAATGACTGATTACTTCTAGTCCGTGTCACTAATCCCATTTGTCTGATTTAATAACATCAAGCCCATGATTTTATCGTAGCAAGAACTGCAAGATTGTGTCTGTAGTTACCATGAGCCTTGAGCACCATATAGGTGACAAGAATAGCTAAGCTCTGTTTCCAGTTTTCCCTACCATCAAACCCATGGAGATTAGAGTATAAAAGAAGAGGTCAACCCCGCACTACGAGCGAAGTACTGCTGGCAGGCCAAAGAATATGTATTGTGTCAAGATGTCCAAAGTTCAGGAATCAAAAGGGGAACCATGGAACGGTGGAGTGTTTTATGAATAGTATCTTCATCTAATATCAACTCGTTGCTCTTCTAAATGGAATGATATAGAAGCTTTCGAAATTCACAAAATTTGATTTGAATAGTCAATAGCTCCTACTTCTCTAGATCTGTTTAAAAAATACTAACTCCTGTTTATACAGAATGACAAAATCTACGACCTAATAAATTGATTATACGTAAAAAAAAACATAATAATTTCTAACAAATTTAAAATATAACAAAATGCTCACAAACTTGCAATATCACAGGATGATAAACAAATATATTAGCATAAAAATAGCACAAATTGAATCCGAAGACCAAATACTTATTTTACTTCAAAATGTCGTTTTCATGCTTTAATGTTTTAAAATGCAAATACATTAATTAAATTACAAATCGAGATAATTTTTTAAATACAAGCTTTCGGAGAAAGAACCCTAAGCTAAAAGTAATTCTGTTTATTGTTAAGCAAGGTTTTAAAAAGCGAAATAAATGGAACGCAGTAACAATAAAATAATTTATCTTTAATATAAGTGCTTATATTTCAGCCGCATAATTCTTATGTAGAATTATTCTTAGCTCCAAGGCATAGTTATCATGCTTATTCAATTTAGTAAATCTTAACAACATTTTGGAAACTTTTGCTGCTGAATGTTTGTCACACTGTACCATTTTTAAACTTGGCGTCTTGGGAATTTCTGGTCGATACATATTCGAATGCTTTTACTGGGATAGGTTCTTAGAATTAAAGGAAACTAGCATGCATAATTAACAGTTATAATTGAGTTTAGAGTGGGTTTTAGAAGGCTCTTTCGTAAGATGCATTAAGCCTTCGAAAATCTGTAATATTATTCCTGATTTCTTCTTTTTCCTTTGTTGAGATTCTCCAGAGAGTTTAAAGTAATACGCCGTGGGGTGAAACATTTTCCCGTTCTTGAGAAGGTAATGATGACCTTAAAATTTGGAGTTGCATTTACTTATTTCCTATTGTTATTGCCCAGTTTCGCATTTCAAATCTAAGAGTATATTCTAGTTTTTTTATCTTATACATTGTACTCTTACATATAGGAAAATTCTGTTAAAGAAAAAGATCAAAGTGAATTTGAAACTAGAGAACTCAAACATGCATCAAACGTTTGCCTTTAAAAACGAGTACACTGGTATTTGGTCAAAGAAATGTAAAACGATTTGTATTTTACATTCTACGATACGATATAATATAGGGTCTCAGTTGTTGTTCTTGCATTTTTAATTAAACCAATGCTTCAGGTTCTGCCTTAAAGAAAAACTTCATACCTTAAATTCAATAATATTTATAAAATTAAACTCGGCCTAGTCTAAATACTAGTCTAATCTTCTAGAATATTGGCCTAGTGTTTAACTACCGATTACAGAACACCAAGTTAATGTAACCGAAGAAGCAACTATAAATTAATTTTGATTTTAGACCTAAACAATCTGACAAAAATTTATTTCGCTTCTAGATAGAAATATGGACAACAGTGAATTAAATTATTTTATAAATTCGAAGGTTTACATTTCGATCTTACCACTTGAGTCAATTGTTTGAAGAACACTACTTAGTTCGTTCAAAAAGAAGAAACTTGTTTTTTACTATAGAGTCTATATCGGACAGGTATGGAAGAGGTTTACTACCACTGGCTGCTATTACCAGTTTTTTCTGTCTCTCAAACTCTCACTCCTATTTAAAACGCCTCTCATTTACTTACTGTAGAGGCGCAGATGAAAACGCTGCAATACAGAATACATTTCTAACATAAGAAATACCGGCTTGATTAAAATAACCATAATAATATTAAAGAAAAAATCAGAAATAATTAGGTCATCGACATTTGTTCATTTCTGGTTTATCACGGGAGCAGAAGCAATCCAAACTTACAGAAATTCATAACAGTTACTGTTCGTTTTATGTTCAAAATGATTAACAGTAACTAAACTATACATTATAAATTAATAGAAATTACGGAACATAAAGCAAAATATTGAATTTCGTTTTATGAAATATATTGAGAAAGAAGTATCTATCAGATATTTTAAGAAAAGAAATAAAATTTCAAAATTCATGAAAAATTCTAAATGTTTTATCCAAAAAACTATAGAGACGTGTCGAGTTGTGCCTATTGTGCCAATACTAGCCTGAATACACGATGTAATATGATAGAGCATTGACCCTGCATATCCCATATAAAGGCGTGCGTCATCTCATTTAGCAGCTACTGCAATATCGGTTCTAGTTCGACCAAATCTCTGTTCTCTCCAACTTGTCGTTCATAGTTTTCTGAGATATGCTAAATCTGTGATAAATTTTGAGATTGTAAGACCAAGCAAGCGGGGTAATTTTGTAAGAATTTTCTCCTCTCCCTGCTAACCGGATGCTGTCGTGGGTGTAACTGGAAAGTAAGTCCGGCTAGTAATTCGAAAGTCTGGAGTTCGAGTTTTGGGGAAAGCTTTGCATCTTTTCAATTATCTAGCTTCGAAAGTTCCTAATCCCTGTAACTATCTTGTTGTGTACGGCCGAGCATTATCGTATCAACAAATGCCTCCTCCGAGCATTCGCCACTGACCGAATTGAATCTCGAATCGAAGCTGAAGTCGACCTGGTCCCATTCCGTTGAGGTTCAATCTCGTAAATCGCGACACTGCTGTAAATAGAGGCAACGGTGTGTAATGTCATTAGCAGCACATGATTGTCATTGGCAGCTGCGATATCAAAACTCCTTTTACCAGACACCTAGGGATGATACGGACAGACAGAAGGACATTAATGATAATGTTGGCTATGTCAGTATGGCTGACAAAGATGCAGATGGCGCTGTGTAGGTAATGTGACGTCTTCTTGACTAATAAAGTGTGAACTGCTTAGGTAGCAGGATAATCGTCAAGCTGATATACGGTTTCCATTATCTTGTAGAATTTTCTTCTCTCGAACTCTGAGACCTGATTGTTTTATCAGCGTCTTTGGAAACGAGTTCCTCTGCAACAGATTAAATATAGGCAAAATGCCTCTGAGTACTTTTTTATCCCCTAGAGAAAACGAAGTTCAGCACGTTCATAGCAAGCACGAAGTATTTGTAATCATTTACTTATATGCCTGACACATACATTAATGGCAAGCTTGGAGGCGATTTCTTGGTGAGCATATTTTTATGGAAATGGGTGAAATCAGACAGCCATTAATTTAGTTATATTTTTTTTCCTTTAGCATATAGTCAAGAATGAAAACTATAAGATTAAAATTATTCTATCATAACATTTTACATTTCACCTCAAATACGTTCGAAAAGTGGCTAAGAACTAAACGAAATATGGGTTCCCTTGTTAAAATTTTATTTCACAATTTCGTATCCTGAACTCAAAGATGAATTTGATTCTATATAAAACGTGGAAAATATTAATGATGCAGCAAATAATGTTGACTGTCAATTCGAGTCGTGTAAAGATTTGTTAATTGCTTACATATGCTATTTAAAATTATTTAAAATAGAATGGAATGTATGGTAAGCAACACTGGTGTTTCTCGTCTTTTGGTGTTAACTTTATGACAAAAGGACAGAGGTTTCCCTACAGATGAATGGTTCAGTTATCAGTAACATTTTACTCTCTCGAGGCAGAAGATCTGTAAATATATACTACTTCGTATTCTGCATAAGAAAATTCGGGCATTGTCAGACCACACATTACCACATAATTTCCTTTTGTGAAGTTGTACCAAATCAGTTCAGCCGTAAGAACAATCTAAACTGAATGTCATTTATAGCAATTTTGCTCAAATATATTGAAAAAATTGGATAAATAAATTGGATAAATTGGATAAAAAAAAATTGGATAAATCCAGTGTTTCCTGTAATAGTGAGCCAGAAAAGTGTAATATTTCTTTTCTTAAGTATTTTTATAATTTTTAAAAATTCAGCCACTTCAATAAGAATGGTCAGAAAAATTGATCAGAAAATTTTCTCCTTTGTTGCAAAGTCAACTCACAGTGGTCACCAATGTAATTTGTGTCTACCATCCATTCAAGTTTGCATGATTAGTAACAACATAACATGACAAATTTTACAGCTTACAAATGCTTTTAAGAAATAGCTTGTTTTAATATATATCATCAAAATTTCGTGGTTCCTGCATCATTAATATAGGTTTTTCCACATTTTATACTGAATTAGATAAAAATACAATCTTAGAAAAAGAAATCAGTTGTACAAAAAAAAAAAAAAAAAAATTACGGAGTCACACTTCATTCAAAGCTCAACTCGGAGAAGCAATTGTTGTATCATGTATGACAACAAAATTGCGTAATACGAATATTTCATCCAAGTAGAGAATTTGATTGTATTTAGCTAATCCTTGTGTAAGTGTAAAGAAAAAACAGTTGATCGGACATCAAGCTGGATTTTAATTTTTATAAATAATATTAATGAATATAAATTTGACAGCAATATTTATTAAGTAGTAGATAAAACTCATTTGGTCTGATAAAAATGTTTTCAATTCAAATATTTTAATTTATACTGATGTTATCTATACCATTTTCTGAAATATTAAATTATTGTATTTATTTTACTGCATTGAAATTTATAATTAAAACGCAATCCAAAATTATATTTCGTTTTAAATAAAAATATAAAAACTGCTACAGAAGGTTAAGTGCCAAGCAATTCAAATTTCAAAATGAAGCAAAAATTTGCATACAATATGTAATAGTGATGTAAAAAAGACAAAAGCAGAAAGGAGGAAATAGTATATTTACACGGATAATCAGTTATTTGATTAGAAGGACGGTTATGAAGGCTATCGTTTTGAAGAGGATATGAGCTTGGAGAGGGATTTTTAAGCAACTGGCTCGTATTTAGATAACACATTGCGAAAAGTCGCGAAAGGAAGAAAATAGTTCCTAGAAATGTTAATCCTGGTCGAAATAATAGTTTGTCATAGCCTGTCTATTACAAAAGGGTCCTAGCACCTTTCACGTAAAATCGTATGAAACGCCAACTATTCAGCAACACGTCATTCGTGAAAATTACTAAATTACGTCAAATACCGTTTAATAAATAAATTAAAATAATTCGATGGTGATTTTTCCCTTAATAATACTCAGTGATATTCTTTCATAACTTATTAATGCTAAACATTCTGTAATATTAGAGTTTGGTTAAAAATGGTACGCGGAAATAATTTTTACACAATTTATAAATTTTCAAATTCTAAAAATACATTATTCACATACTCATGCTGTTTTATTGGTTCAAAATCGTAATCTAGAAAACATCTAAAAATTGTGCTTGAAGTACTTTTCATTTTTAATTTACGAAAATAACATTCTGAGTTGCTTGTGTGCCAATACTGAAGATTGCTATTTTTCAGAAAACAAATTCCATAAGCTTATATAAATAAGATTTTCTTTTTAAACAAATTACGTTGATTGATACTTTTTGCGATTAGTTTTACTAACCTACTAAGAAATGTCATCAGTGCATCTGTTAAAATAAAAAACATTTTTCTAAACTGATATTTTATTTCTGGTTACGCATAAGCGTAATCATTTCATCCTTCAATTTGGTGAGGTCTCCTTAACATGATCCCAAATTTTGAATCTTAATATATCTATCAATATTTCTTGTATGGGATTATAATATTCTGTACTTTAATTTTTATGATGAGTCTCAAACATGCATTAGGGACCAAATGACTAGATAAGGAGTTTGATTTTGCAGAGTTTACAAAATAGATTCTTTCCTTAACTGAAAATCTTCAAGAAATGAAAACTTGCGTCATCTATAGCATTTTTAGAATTCGAAGTATATGTCTATTAACAACTGCTAAAATGAAGGCAGTATTTGGGCTTTTGTTGAATGATATCTATATATAACTATATGGCTTTCCTATTATTTAAAATTAAGAGCATAGATTTTGAGTAATTCAAAGTTTAATTTTATTAATTCGAAACACTAAAAAAATTACAATTGGATTTTATAATGATATGAAATACAAGGTGAATATTAAAAACATATTTTGTTTATTTGTTTGAAAATAAATTAATGCATTTTTGTCTTTAAAACAAGTACTTTTATTTTCCTTTTATTTTAATCTGTGCAGACTCATGTGTATTTTTCGTTTCATGAAATTAGGTAACAAACTTTTATTTCGGGCATGCTTCCAAAACAGAATTTATATTGTTAAAAATATTTTTATCTTCCTTAAGTTTTTAAAACAAAACTCTTTCAAATAAACAGTATTTATCTGAAGAAATAATATTTATTTTGATGAATCAAAGTTATAAATTATAAGGTATAATTTAGCTGTTTTACTAATCTCCTTTCATTCATATACAGATACAAGAAAATGAAAGGAACATTATTTCTCTGAAATTTAAGAAATTTAATTTTCTTTTAAGAAGAGTTTATTTTTTTACTTGATTATAAAAGCAATGCAATAAAAATATAGTTAAAAATAATGCGTCTGTCTTCTAATTAGTGCTGTTCCCGAAATTTTACATGATAAAACTGCACTCTTTTAGAATAAGCCCTTTAAAATTACACATGTTTATGTTTATAATTGATAAATTGTATCTGTATCACATCAAATCAATGTCCAAGACCAAGCACTCATTGTTAACTAAGTTCTTTACATCTGTTCCATACTAGTTACTTAATATTTAAGTATGTGTTTCTGAGGAAAACCAGCAGCCCACATTCGATGTATTATAATTATTTAAGAGCATATACCTATAGTATTAACATATTAATAAAATTTTAATTTATAATAGTTCCCAAATTTCTTAAAAAAAGTATTGCTTTTTTTATCATTCTTCAAAGCAGAATTTAACGAATTCAAAAACCGCTCAAGAAAAGAACCTGTTGTTTAAAACTAAAATGATAAAACACGTAAATTTCAACAACAATATAACCATGCTAAGATGAGAATATTCTGCTTAAATTTAAAATTGCAATCTAAATGATAAGACATCTTGAAGAACGAAAAATGTACTGTCGTTTTAAATAACATTCTTGAAATACTTCTATCTACGAAATCTTTCAAAATTGGAATATTCTCGCAAAAATCCAATTTCCGTTTGGTTCTATATCAGATTGCTCCAGCGTAAATTTAATTGAATTCAAGAGTAACCTTAAGAACGTTTCACTGTCAGTTATAGAAGAGTTTGAACATATCATTCAGAAGACTGCAAAAGAATTTTATCCACTCCGTATCTTTAAACGAGCTTATGACTCTACTTTTAATATATTCACAATTTTGAAAGTCTAATATTTTTGTGTATTTGTAAGAGGTTAAATAGAATTCACATTTGGATATTATGGCTTAAACATCAGTTTGTAACTATCTGCACGAAAATATGATATATTTGTCAATTCTAAAACAAAGTTAAGATCTGAAATTTGGCGTGATTTTTAATTCTGTTTCTCGACGACAGAGTGTAATAATCAACGGTTGTTTTAAAATAAAATACATCAGAATTAAAAGTAGATCCGCAACTGAGAAGAAATGGAAGCTATTTTATAACTTATTAGAAATTAAACTTTACAATCATCCTACTTATTATGAAATAAATGCAAAATTGTAGAGAAAATGTAAAATTAATGCAAAAAAAAGCA